AAGCCAGCTGCTCCTCAAGCTGCTTCCCAGTGCCTGGGGAGGCCTGGCTCTTGCCTTTTGCTCTTCCTTTTCCAGTTCTGGTGGGGGTTCAGGTGTCAAGGACTTCAGGTATGTGGGATCCGCAGGCCTTTTGCTGCTCGTGTGGCCAGGGCGGCTGGCTTGTTGGGGAGACTGAGCAGAGGTGCAGGGGAAGGGTGGTGCGGGCTGAGGGTGGGGGAGCAGAGGTGCAGACTGAGGGTGGTAGAGCCTGCGCTGGAAGTGCTTCCCGTAGAACACAGTCTACCTAGAAACCTGCCAGAAGTTCCCAGCAGGAGCCCCTGGCTGGGCGATGATGGGTACTCTGACCTTGGATGTTTGCACATGCGCCTACCTGGCCTGAATTAGAGCCTCAGGACTGGGGGCCCTCTGCTCCCCCCCCCCCCCCCCCAGCCCCTGTCAGATGCTATCAACGAGGATGCGCTTCCTGACCTGCAGCCTTCCCTTCCTACCAGTGCTTTGTCCCTGTTTGGTTTCAAGTCGTATTTGTTCGGTTACTAGTGCATCAGTGGGTCTGAAGGCCACTCCCGGCAGTGCTCAGCCTGGCTCTGTGGGCCCTGATGCTTCAGTGTTTGCTTGGGTCTAATCATATCTCATTGGGGCCACTAGGATTACACCAGCTGTGCAGGTCCTGGGGACTGTGCCATGCCAAGGATTGAGCCTAGCACATTGCAGGGCATACACTGCAGTCCTTTGAGCAATCTCCCTGACCCTGTATAGGATGTAGTTGATTATTTTCATTTTTAAAAATTTCTTTTTGGTTTGGGGGCCATCCCAGGTGGGGCTCAGGGGCTGTTCTCTTTGTGCTCAGGGGTTACTCCCAGAGCATGCTTGAGGGACCATACTGGTGCTGGAGACCAAACTCAGACCTTGAGCCTGTGCCTTATGCCTGTAAGCATGAATTCCAGAGTTACGTGTGGTTAAGGGGATTGAACCAAGGTCAGTGCATGCCAGGCAAGTGCCTGGACCTCTGTTTGGTTACTCCAGACCAAAGCTCAGCTCTTTACACGAGCTCTTGATAGAGGGAGTACCCTGTTGCCTTGTACCACTTGGGAGCCTCTGTGAGCCATAGAGGTTGGCACCACAGGGCAGCCACAGTGAAGATGCTGTCAGGTCTTTCAGGGTTGGTGCCAGCAGCTCCAGCCCCCTGCTTTCCTGGTGGAGTGACTCAGGCCACAGGAAGCATCCTGTTGGGGCCTTGTGCCCGGTGTGGGTGGCACTATCCCCTCAGCAGTGCGGCTCTGGCCTCATGAGTACTGATGCACTGATGCCGTGAGTCTTCACTGTGGCCTCCTGTGGGGGTTAAGCGGCCCTAGTCACAGGCTCTGCTCTCTCATCCCAGTGGCTCCTCCACATGGTTTGGCTCCTCTATTGCAACCACCACTGGGGGCCTCCCAACCCTGACTGTGCCTTTGCCTGTGGGTACAGAGACTTCAGTGAGGGGAAACATGCAGGCTTTCCCCAGGGCTTCTTGTGCTTAGGGGGTGTTGGCTGTAGGGCGGCCACTGAGGCCAGCAGGTTCCCCGGCAGGGCTGTGCAGTGCAGGTAGTGGGGTCCGGGCCCTCTGGGGGCCACCTGGGAGCAGCTGCAGAGTCCCAGAGGCCCCTCGGCCCCAGCCCCACTTCTCCTGGACTCCTTCACCCTGAGCATAGTCCTCAAGGTGTCAGCAGTGGGGCCTGGGGAGGGGATGTGTGTCCCCAGCTGGTCAGTGGGGCCCAGCCTCCTGCAGACAGTGCCTTATGCCCAAAGACCCAGGTTGTGGGGCACCGGCCCCATTTGGTGGCGTCCCCTGCTGCCATCCTGATTGCCAGAGCAGGGAGGGAGGCCGCTCGAGGCACAGGAGCGCGCGGCAGGACGATGGGCTCCTTGGCCAGGCCTCCGGGTGCAGCTGGTGGGCAACAGGCCTGCTCGAGTAGGGGGCGAGGGACTGGAGAGAAAGGCAGTTCCTGATGGTCCCCTCCCCAGGGGCTGGCTTTCCTCTCGTCCTTCCCTCCCAATGACCGCGTCTTCATCGAGGCCGCAGCCCTGCGCCCTGTGTCCATATGTCTGGTGCCAGGCTGCCTGGAGCACCAGTGCGGACCTTCCCTCAGGCGTGGCTGGTGCAGGCAGCCAGCTTGGCAGGGCTGTGTCTGGCCTGAGCCCCTCTGGCAGAGCAGCTCCTGCCTGGGAGCCGACCCGGGGACCAGCGGTGTCAGGGCCGCTGAGGCTGGCACGAGCGGCCCCTCTCTGACAGTGCTTAGTGGCATGGGCCAGGTGGGACACTCTCTCCTGGGGCCATGTTTCCGGGGGGACAGCTCTCGGTACTGTGGCTCTGGGCCTGCTGGTCATCAGCAGCTTGGCTCCCACTGCTGCCTGCCCTGGGCCTTGGGGGGTCATAGACCAGTGTTTCTCAGAGTGGGCAGTATACTGCTTTTGGGCAAGGGGCAGGGTGGCCGGGCAGCACCAGTAACCTTGGCAGTTGCACCCAAAATTCCATTTGTTTGAGCCAGAGAGATAGTACAGCAGGTTGGGCACTTGCCTTGCCTGGTTCCCTGAGCATGGCTGGGAATGGCCCTTAGGCATGGGTGTACCTGCCAGAACAAAAACAGTTCTAGGTGTGAGGGTCCCTGAACCCCCTCATTGACCCTGGTTCTGACCATGGGTTTTTTTAGGGCTACTCTCACTCCTAGCGCTGTCCTTGTGGCCCCAGGGGCGGCTGTAGGCAGGTGTCCCTGGTCACCCCCTATAGTTGCTCCCCAGAGTTCCAGCATCCCTTGGGGGCTCCTTCCAGAACCCTGAGGCAAGGGACTCGGGATCTTGGGAATTTCTTTCAGCCCCACTTACTGCAGAGGCCTCAGACACCTATGCCTCTGGCCTCCTAACCCAGATGAGCACATGCCTTTGCACAGCTTTGCACAGGAGTGGCCTTGGACTCCACCATCCTCTCTGGATCCCACATCTTCCAAGATATTGGCTAAACCCAGCTAAACTCCTCAGTTCTTGGAGATCTTTTTTTTTTTGTTTGTTTTTTGGGTCACATCCGGTGATGCACAGGGGTTACTCCTGGCTGATCACTCAGGAACTACTCCTGGCGGTCCTGGGGGGACCATATGGGATGCTGGGAATCAAACCCGGGTCAGCCACATGCAAAGCAAATGCCTTACCCGCTGTGCTATCACTCCAGCCCCAGTTCTTAGAGATCTTCCTCATTCTTGAATGTTTGAGTTTTTTTTTTTTTAGGGATGGGGGAAAACCAGCAGCCTGATCGCAGTATTGGGGGTGTCAGGCACCCCCGGGAGCCCCTGACCCCCAGGGGACACCACCAGGCTACTTCGAGGCATGTTGCAGCCCGCTGTATCCTCTGGACCCCTGTAGTGCTAGGCACGCCTGCCCCTCGGCATCTCTCGAGGCGCCCTGTGCTTCTCCACACGCGGCTGCCTCCCACCTTTCTACCTCAGTTCCCCAGGCCCAGAACCTCGCTGAAATCACAAGCTGGTTCCCAGAGGCCTCCAGCTAGGGGAAGTTTGGGCTGAATCCTGTGGTGCGATGGGGACAGTCGAGTCTCCCCCTCACTGTACCAGCCCAGCCAGTGAACGGGAGCTGGCGAGGGGCCTCTGTAGTGCCGTCCCCTGGGGGATCTAGGGACTTGGTGCCAGCCATGGCCTTGTCTGGGTACCCCCTCAGCTTTAACCCCTTGGTGGCCCCTCTGCCTGGTGTGGCCAGAGTTCCTTCTCTCAGCCGCTTGCTGTCGACATGGAGCTGGCATGGCTTTGAGGACAGGGTGGGGTGGTAGAGGCCCCTCCTCCCATGAGTGCCGAGAGACAGGTGGCCACAGCACCCTCACTGGCCGCCTGCCTGTCTCCAAGGCTGGGGCCTCTCCTGGAACTGTGGAGCATGGGCATCAGTGTGGCGCGCCGAGCTGGCATCATCTGGCCCCTGGGGTGGCCTGTCAAGCGTGGTGGCTCCCTCCCCAGCATGGCTACACTAAAGGGCAGGGTGGCACAAGTGACCATGGCTTGGGTTGAGACCTGGGCATCTCATCTCTGCTCTGGGCCTCTGGGTGCCCAGCCCACAGACTGACCTTAGATCTGGGGCTCTCCTGAGTGGGGTCAGCCCATCCTGGGTGGTCACCATTCTACTGGTAGGCCCTGCCGGTACCCTTCCCAGCCCCAAGGGCACCCCAGTCTTGTGATCTTGAAGTTCAGTGGCTGCCTCTAGATACCCACACATGTGCACGTAGTCCCTTATGCCAGCACTCACACACACACACACACACACACACACACACACACAGAGGCACCTCCCTCATGCACACACACACACACACACACACACACACATGCCCCCCACGCACATATTTATATACACATGCACACATGTCCCTTGTGCACACACATTTATACACACGGGCACTCCCCACACATGCAGACAAATGCACACCCCACACACAGGTCTGTGCTTTGGGGCTCCGTGGGTCCAGCCGTGGGATCCATGCATCTGTGAGCCATTCAGACTTGCCCAGTCTCCTCCGGGGTGGGCCCCTGGGCTACCCTCCTGGTCACGCTGCCCCCCAAAGACTCCCATCACAGAGTATGTACCACCAACTCCTGGGTGGACGCGTGACCCGGGCATGTGGGCTTTGTCCAGGCTCCTGCTGCTGATGTGCATACACTGGGCCTGACAGTTTTCCTGGATGTGCCCGGGCTCCGGGAGGTAGACAGTGTCTGCTGTGGACACAGCCTTAGGGACCCCGGGCTCAGCATTGCAGGGCTGGGCTGGAGTTGGTGCTGTTGGACGAAAGGGATGGAGAACCTGAGGTGAGCAGGTCTCAGAGCCGCCGGGAGTGAAGGAGAGGCCCCAGCCCTGTAGCTCTTCCTCAGCTGGGGTGGGGCCAGGAATGTGTTGGGGCACGCTCTCCTGGACCAGGGGACTGTGCTGGTCAGGGGATGGTGGTCTTTGCTCAACTCTTTTTCCTTTTCCTGCAGACCTTGTGAACCCGCACATGAGTGCAGCCTCCCCTTCGGCCCGATGTGCATCATCTTCTTTAAGTTTAATCCTCGCCCTGTTTCCAAAAATGCCTACAGGTAATCTCCCACTGCCGTCCTCCCCGTGGTAACCCCCACTCTGTGCCCTCCTCCCTGTGGTAACCCCCACTCTGCCATCCTCCCGTGGTAACCCCCACTCTGTGCCATGCTCTTCTCTGTGGCCTCAGGTACCTGCAGGTGCAGGAGGGGCTGTGGGTGCTCACATGTGGGGACAGGGCCGTGGTCAGTGCGGTCACGCCATGTGGGGTGCTGGAGGTGTGTGGACCTCGGATCACAAAAGGGCAGACCCTCAGCCATGGAAGCTCATGAGGTGGCCAGCACAGAGGACCAAGTGGGGCCAGGGCCCACTGCCTTGTGGGCTCTGCAGGGGATCAGGGCAGCAGAATTGGGGTGATGGGATTCAAGAGCTTGACCTGAGCTGACTGTCCATGTTGCAGGTGATGGGCTTGGGTAGTGGTCACTGCCAGTAGGGTCTGTGGATCCTGATCAGAGATGTGTCGTTTGGGTGTGAGGGACAGCTGGCATACTGTCCAGGAGAAGGGAGGAGCAGGAGGGGCAGGTTCTGATCCAGTTCGCCCCATGTCCCTGTGACTCTGGGCTCTGGAAGTGCCTCTCTGTTCACAGGCGCACCCTAGCTGGAACACAGAGCCCTTCATCCATGCATGAATGAAACGAAAATTTAACCCACAGTCATGTTTTACTTAGACACTTACCTGGGAACTTGTCGTCACTTTAACATTTCCAGTAAGGGGGTGGGGGTTCAGCTGGGGGCACCACTGCTAGGGGCCTCTGTGGCTGTGCCAGGCCTCCCCGCCACTCCCTCTTGCCTTAGCCATGCCTGTTTTAGTCAGATACATTGGCATTTGTCCCCTGCCCTCGTGCCCACTCGGTCCCCTCCCGTCCCCCATCAATAGCATGAAGAACAGGAGCAACTCAGTGTTAGCAGAGTGCAGGGGATGGATATACCTACCTTTCTGACACGTCCGTGTAGCACATTCCTGTGTAGCTTTTACCACTTCCTCCTGGAGCTCATTCATCCTCCCACATCGAAACTCTGTCCCCGTGGAACATTGTGCTCAGTTCAGCCCTCCCTGGTTCCTCCATCCTTCCTTCCCTCCCTCCCTCTTTCTCTCTCCCACCCCTCTTTCCCTCCCTCCCTCCCTCCCTTCCTCCCTCCCTCCCTCCCTCCCTCCCTCCCTCCCTCCCTCTCTCCCTCTCTCCCTCCCTCCCTCCCTCCCTCCCTCTGTTCCTTTTGTTATTGGGCCACACCAGTGATGCTCAGGGGTTACTTCTGGCTCAGAAATAACTCCTGGTGATGCACAGGGATGGAACGTGGGTCAGCTGTGTGCCAGGCAAGTGCCCTACCTGCTGTACTATCACTCAAGCCCTGTCCCCCTTTGTTCTTTTTTTTTTTTTTTTTTTTTTTGCGGAGGGGGGAATTCAGCAGTGTTCAATTTGTTAGTATTGACCAGTAGTGCTGGAGTGACCACCAGGGCTACATCTCATGGTGCTAGACAGGGACATACTGGCCTGTGACTGGAACTTGGGGCTTTGCTCGGTGCGAGGCATGTACTCTGCTACTTGAGCCATCTCCCTAGCCCTGACAGACACTTGTTTTGTTTTGGGGCCATGCTCAGGGCTTACTCCTGGCTCTGCACTCAGGAATTACTCCTGGCGGTGCTCAGGGAACCATATGAGATGCCAGGGATCAAACATGTAAGGTGAACATCCTATTTGCTGTATGATCCCTTTGGCCCGCATTTTTCATTCTAATGCAGATAACATATTTGTCCTAATACAGTACTCCGAACAGGAGCAGAGTAGAACAGCACCTGGACTGGAGTGTGGCTCGAGTGAGTGAGGCTCTGGGATGGATCCCGCTGCCCCAGCACTGCCCGCCCCAGCGCAGTCTCAGGGCTTGGTCTGGGCTCTCTGCTCCCTGGCCACTCTGTGTGGCCCCTGAAATTTTCTGAGCTGGTGGCAGCTTGGCCCCGGGCTCCTGGTCATCGTGCTGGTCGCTCTTGTTCCCAATTACAGACACATTCTATGTTCTTGGGAAAACAGGTCAGAGCCCAGAGCACTTAGGCGTAAGCCCTGAACTCCAACCAGCCAGTGAGAAATAGATGGCCCAGGATGCCCGCTGCCCTGTGGGAGTGTGCAGTGCTCCCCTGGGGAGACCTGAGGAAGGACAGGGACAGGGAGGACTCTACCTTCCAGCCTGGGTGCCCCGCGTGCTGTGCTTGTCCTCAGCTCCCTCCCATCTGGCCCTTGGCCCTGCTACCCCTGGGGCCCCATTCCAGAGATGGGGATGTGCAAGGTGGAGTTAGAGTCCACCCTGGGGCAGGTGGACCCCCTATTTCCTGACCCTGCAGATCCATTATTATCATCTGCCTGTTTCTTCCACGGCCCAGGCTGCTGCAGACCGTTGTCCTGCACTGGCCCCTGTCTTGTCTTCTGTCACTCTGGCTTATGTTTCCCCTGAGGCAAACGTTCACTTGTCAACAAGAGAAAGAAAACTCAGCCTGGTCACGCTGCTGTTTCAGTTTTCATCCGAGGCCTTGACTCAGGCTTTTCTCTTCAGGCTCATCCTGGCAGCCAACAGGGATGAATTCTACCACCGACCTGCCAAGGTAGCTGACTTCTGGGGGAGCAACAATGAGATCCTCAGCGGTGAGTGGCCTTCTCCACTGGTCCTCTGCAGAGCATGCCCCATGTGGACTTCTGGGTACCAGGGTGAAATGAATGTGGGACTAGTGACTCTTTTGGGGCCTAGTATTGGGGTGCCAGGCTCAGTACCCCCTACATGGCTTCCTGGGGCCTAAATATTTGGAAGAATTTGCCAGAATGATCTCAGTTGATTTTATTAGTTTTGGCTTTGGTTTTGGGGCCACATGCGGTGATGCTGAGGGTTACTCCCGGCCCTGCACTCAGAGATCACTCCTGGCAGTGCCCAGGGGGCCATATGGGGCATTGGGGATTGAACCTGGGTTGGCCACATGCAAGTAAGCACCTTCCCTGTTCTGCTATCTCCCCGTCCCCAGTTGGTTGGATCTGCACTTCCACCTTGGGTGCGTGGTTGGATTTGTGGGAGGCACAATCTCCTCTCAATCACTCTGAAGCCTCATGGTTGAGATGTGTGCATGTGTGCTGACGTACTTCTGTACCTTGGCATGCTTTGCTTTTTGTTTTCCTTTTTTTTTTTCCTTTTCTGGTTGTGATGCTTACACAACCTTGGTTGGGGTCCACCAGATTTGCACATGTTGTTGTGACAAGGGGGTAACAAAGAGAGTGCTGCTGGGGTCTGCCCTGAACATGTTGGGGCAGTATTAGGGATCAGACTCAAGGCCTCATGCTTGCAAGGCAGACTCTGTTCTGCTGACTCATACCAAGGCCATGAACACATTTTTCCTTTTTGGTTTTTAGGCCACACACAGCAGTGCTCAAGGATCACTCCTGATAGGCTTGAGGGAGCATATGGGATGCCAGGGATCGAACCTACATCAGCTGCAGAGAAAGCAAATGCCTTACTAGCTGCACTACTGCTCTGGCCCCATCTTGCACACATTTCTGACTACTCACACATGCCCTCTGCTCCTGGAGGAGGGGATGAGTTTGGGCTGGGGAAGCCTGGTGGGGGCCATTTGAGGTGGGAACTGCATGAGGCATTCCCTTGGGCAGGAGTGGTGGGGATAGCGGGGTCCCTAGCCGGCCTGGCTGACAGCCTTAGGACAAGAAGGGGGATCATGAGAGTCAGTGTTGGCTAGGCCAGAAATTCCTCTGCCCCTGTGTCAGGACCAGGGAGTCAGGGGAGGGCATACGGCCTTGGGGACGTGGTGCTGCCTTGTCTGGTACTGCCCTAGCCTCATCTCACTTTGGTGTTTGGCAGGAGCCTCCCAGGAGGCCTTGGTTGGGCCGTTCGGGAGCTGGTAAGGAGCGGGCAGATCCCTCCTTGAGCAGGGGCTGGCAGAGGTCCCACCAGGCTGTGGTTAGGGATGCCAAGAGGAGAGGAGACTAGGTCTTATTTGGTTTCAGCCTCATCAGAGGCTCTGGGTGCCCCTGGGGAGGTCCAAAGAAATGTGTAGCTACAGTTGTCCCAGAGGCCAGGGGACAGGTGTGCAGGGAACAGGACGATGACTGAGGGGAGCCCACAGGAGCCAGGCCATAGCTGGCTGTCCTGGTCAAGAAAGAACTGGAGAGGGAGGAGGGGTACTGGGCTGTGCCAGTCTCTGTCACATGCACGGGAGACTGGTCAGGATGGGGGTCGACGGCCTCAGAAAGGGAGTCAGCTCTTTTTTTGGTTTGTTCGTTTTTCTTGTGAGGGGTTTTTTTGGGAGTTGTGCTTGGGGCCCACCCTTGGCCGTTTGGGTATGGCATAAGTGAATCGAACTGGATCAGCCATATGCAAGGCAAGCTCCTTAATTTCTGTACTATCTCTCTGCTTCCTTTTTGAGTGGGGAGCAGATTTTGAGCCACACTTAGTAGTGCTCAGTGCTTCCTCCTGCCTCTGTGCTCAGGGATCACTGCTGTTGGGTCTTGGGGGACCATATGGGGTACCAGGCATCAAACCCAGGTCAGCTGCATGCAAGGCAAGTGCCCTACCTTGTGATACCCGCCCCCTCCCCATGAGATCGGACCCAGGATCTCACACAGGCCATGCACTCAGTCATAGCCCTGGCCCTCTCGGTTTGATTTTAGATTCTTTCTGTTGCCTGTTGCTTCTCAAATTCACTGACTTTTTTTCTGCTATACTGTTGTATCAATTTTATTAACATTTAGTTTAGCTATTTACTTCTGAGTGGAGTGGTCAGGGCTACTACGGGCCCTCTGCTCAGGAATCACTCCTGGTGGGGCTCAGTGAACCATATGTGGCACCAGAGATTGAACCAGGGTTGACTGTGCTCAAGGCAAGCACCTCATGCACTGTATTGTGTCTCTGACTCATTTATTTACGTCCTGGAGTTGTGAGCTTGTGAGTTGTGGAAGTTTTCAGTGGCATGGGGGTGCCTGGTGGAACCTCCTGCATGCAAAACCTGCTCTCCAGTCTGCTGAAGTCTCTCTCTGGCCCCTCTCATTTGCTTTTAGTTCCACAGTGCGTATTTTTCATCTTATCAATTACAGTTATCTCTAGCAATTCCATTTTATACTTTTCTTTTATCTATTTAATGTTTCAGCACATATAGTGCAATTGTCATATCTGTTTGAAATTCCTTGTTTGCAAATTCCAGTATCTATGTCAGTTCCAAGCTCATTGAGGTTTCTCGGGAGTTCAAGATGCCGCTCTGTCTAACGTTCATTGATTTAAAGAAAGCCTTTGATTCTGTTGAGACGGAAGTGGTCATTGAAGCCCTAGCCAATCAGGGCGCACAAACTCAATATATCAGGATCCTTTGTGAGCTCTATTACGGATATACTACCAGGATCTCACCATTCTACAAAGAAGTAATCATCCATGTCAAGAAAGGGGTTCGGCAGGGTGATACCATTTCACCGAAACTCTTCAGTGCCACCCTTGAGAACATCATGCAACAACTGGAATGGGAAGGAATGGGAGTGAAGATAGATGGTCGGCAACTATACCACCTCCACTTTGCTGATGACATTGTTCTAATAACACCAAACATTAGCCAAGCGGCACAAATGCTGGTCAACTTCGACTGTGAGTGTGGAAAGGTTGGACTACAGCTGAATCTTAACGAAGACAATGTTTATGAGAAACAGCCTCGTTCCTGATGCTCCATTCACTCTCAACGGAACGACCATCTCCAAATGCAACAATATGTGTACCTAGGTCGAGAAGTCAACATGACAAATGACCTGGCACCCAAGCTGCGCAGGAGGAAGAGAGCGGCTTGGGACGCCTTCAAGAACGTCAAAAGAAATAGCTAAGAGGACGAAGAACCTCCGGCTCCGGGCACATCTCTTTGATTCCACTGTTCTTCCTGCATTAACATATGCCTCAGAGACCTGGGCCCTATGCAAACAGGATGAGAACGCTATTCGGGTCTCCCAAAGAGGAATCGAAAGAGCTATGCTTGGCGTATCACACTTCACCCAAATGAGAGAAAGAATCCGGAGTTCCAACCTCTATCGACAATCAAGAATCAGGGACGCTCTCTCATTTGCCAAGGTGTCAAAAATCAGATGGTCTGGTCACGTAATGAGATTTAGAGACGACCGCTGGACTAGAGCCATTACCGACTAGATTCCATAGGACGTCAAAAGACCGCGTGGCCGTCCACCTTCCAGATCGTCAGACTTCTTCGTCAAGAACATGAACGATCGGTTTGAGGCTCTTTGTGTTCCTAGAACGAACAGACGCCATTGGGCTACACTAGCACGCGACAGGGACAAATGGAGATGTTACTGGTGCTCGTTAGAGCAAATCTGCGATTACCGGGAAGTCAAGTGATCAAATGTCAGTTCCAGATCATTTGGTGGGGGTGGGGGTGTAGGGGGCATGCCCAGCAGTGCTCATGGGCTATTCTTGGCTCTGTGCTCAGGAATGACTTCTGGTGGTACTCAGGGGGACCATATGTGGTGTCAGAGATCAGACCCAGGGCCAGTGGGATGCAAGACAATTGCTTTAACACCTGTACTATCTCTCTGGCCTCCAGATCAGTTTTTGGTGTGTGTGTGTGGGGGGGGGGGGGGGGGAGGGAGTGCAGTTTAGGCCACACCCAACAATGCTCAGGTTTAATTAATCCTAACAGTGCTCGGGGACCATATGGGATCCTAGACCAGCTCCCTGCAAGGCAAATGCCCTACCTGCTGTCCTATCGCTCGGGCCCCTCCAGATCAGTTTTAATGGCTGCCCTGAAATCTTTTAGTGAATGAGGCCATGTTGTCTTGCTTCTTTGTTTTCTGTTTTGTTTCATGGTGCTGAAGCTGAGACTTTGGGCCTCATACCTCCAAGGTATATATGCTGCCACTGAGTTACACTTTCCTGCTTCTTTGTTAAGGTAAAGGTAAAGGCCCTCCCGTTGATTGTCGATTTGCTCGAGCAGGCCCATTGGAGACTTTGTTGTTACTGTGTCTGGCATATCGAATACTCTCGGTAGCTTGCCGGGCTCTCTTCTTTGAATATTCTGTAATATTTTATTGGATGCCAAACATTTGTCGAGTCTCTCTTTCATGGGACTGAATTTTTGTGGAATCTAGAAATGTCTTGGAGCTTTGTTCTGAAGCATAGGGAAGATACTCAGATCCTTCCTTCCTTCCTTCCTTCCTTCCTTCCTTCCTTCCTTCCTTTCTCCCTCCCTCCCTCCCTCCCTCCCTCCCTCCCTCCCTCCCTCCCTCCCTTCCTTCCTTCCTTGATTTTCCCCCCCTTGCCCCCCAACCTCCAAGCAGGCAGAGCAAGGACACCAGACTTTTGAGCCTTCCCCCTGGCCCCTAACATTATTATTATTATTCTTTCAAGCTTACTTTCTTTTTTCAATTATATAAAGACTTCTTATTTTAAGTGCAGAGAGAAAAAGTAACACAATAAAGAGAGAACAGGGTCTTATACAGACAGAAGAGAGAGTTTCAAGAAATAAAGAAAAGGTGTGACATACCCTTCAGATCTTGCCTGGATGACTGATCAGGTGGCTGGTCAGAAGCTCACCTGTCCGAAGCTGATGGCTCTCCACTTTTCAGCAGTGTTTCTGTCCCCGGTGTTGCCTGAATTCTGAGCCGCAGCCGTCTGGAGTGAGATTCTCTCCCCCAAGCCTCTCATTGGTTCTCCTCACCCCGGGGTGTTTGGGAGCTTCTCACGCATAGATCAGATATCCGGGTTCTCACACACCCATCTCCTCCCTGCTCTTCTGTGCTGTGACCTCTGGAAGTTTTGTCTCCTTGGCTAGGGGCCTCTGGACTCCCCAGTCGTGGGGTTCACTTCCTGCCTTTCCCATATCAGAGCATGCTGGCCTTCATTTTCTGGGGTCCAGTATCCTGCAACTATTGTCTTGCAATTTTTTTTGGTGGTTGTTTTTTTGGGTCGTACCTGGTAGTGCTCAGGGATCACGCCTGACAGTGCTTGGGGGACCATGTTGGGGGTCAGGGATCAAACCCGGGTTGGCCGTGGGGCAAGCGCCCCACCCACTGTTTCCCGTTTCCCGTTTTTTGTTTGGGTTTTGGTGATTTATCGCAGAGATTAAAATCTGAACCTTGTTGCTTGGTCAGGGGGAAGAGTTTCATTAATTTTTAACTTGTAGGCATTTTTCATCACTGTCACTGTCTCTTTCCTCCCGTTGTTCACCGATTTGCTTGAGCGGACCCAGTAACATCTCCATTGTGACAATTGTTACTGTGTTTGGCATATCAGATACGTCATGGGTAGCTTCCCAGGCTTTGCCGTGCGGCATTTTTCATAGATTCTGAATTTGAGTTCTGTGCTCAAGAAATGTTTTTGCCTACTCATCTTTTTCTTTTTTTTATCTTTCCCTTTATGTAAAAATTTGGTTTAAAAAGATTAGAAAAAGAAGAAAATAAGATAAAAATGGTCTTTTCGAAAGGGTCAGAGAGATAGTACAGTGGTTAAGCCACTTGCCTTACTTGTGACTGATCCTGGTTTGATCCCTGATACCACATATGATCCCCCTAAGCATCTCCAGAGTGACCCCTGAGGACCGAACCAGCAGTAAGCACTGAACACTGCCAGGTATAGCCCAGTCCCCCTCCCCCCCACACACAAAAGCAACAATAACAACAACAGAAACCCAGGGGCCAGAGAGGCTGCTCTCTTGACTGAGAATACGCTTAGTTTGCAGGAGTCCTGGCTCAGATCCCCAGCACTAAATGGTTCCTTGAGCACTGCTAGGAGTGACCCCTAAGCAATAAGTTGGAAGTAGTAACCTTGGATCGCTATAAATGTGACCCATTGCTCACTTATTCACTTAATCACTTAATCCCCGTTATTCATCGATTTACTCGAGCGGGTGCCAGTAACGTCTCCATTCATCCCGGTTGCGTGCTAGCGTAGCCCAGTGGTATCTGTTCGTTCTAGGAACATGTAGAGCCTCAAACTGATCATTCAGGGTCTTGACGAAGAAGTCTGACCATCTTGTAGGTGGGCGTCCACGTGATCTTTTGATGTCCCGTGGAATCCAATCAGTAATGGCTCTAGTCCAACGGTTGTCTGTAAACCTCATTACGTGTCCAGCCCATTTGATTTTTGATGTCTTGGCAAATGAGACAGCGTCCCTGATTCTTGAGCGTTGACAAAGATCAGAACTCCGGATTCTATCTCTCATTTGAGTGAATCATGATATTCCAAGCAAAGCTCTTTCGATTCCTCTTTGAGAGACCCGAATAGCGTTCTCATCCTGTTTTCGTAGGGTCCAGGTCTCTGAGGCATATGTTAATGCAGGAAGAACAGTGGAATCAAAGAGATGTGCTCGTAGCTGGAGGTTCTTTGTCCTTTTAGTTATTTCTTCAATGCTCTTGAAGGCATTCCAAGCCGCTCTCTTCCTCCTGCGCAACTCAGGTGCCAGGTCATTCATCATGTTGATTTCTCGACCTAGGTATATATAACTGTTGCATTCAGAGATGGTGGTTCCACTGAGAGCAAATGACCCATTGCTCACCCCCCAAAAAAGAGCCCAGTAAATGCAAAACAAATAAAGCACCACCCTTTTTCCCATTCCCCACCCTCCACCTTCCAGTAAACTTAGTTCTGTTGTCAGTGACCACTCGTTTATTTTGTTTCACCTTCTTCAATTTCCTTTTCATTTCTTTGTATTTTCATAGATTGCACACACGGGTGAAATCATCCAATACTCATCTTTTTCTTCTGACTGGTTTGGTATTGTGTACTCCAGAGTTCCTTACATTCTGCTGAAAATAACGTGACTTGTATAGCTCAGTCATATTCCGTTATTCAGCTGTATTACTCAGCAGTGTCCTGTAGTGTTATTCTCTGCCCATCTGTTGGTGGACACTGGTGTTTCCAGGTCTTAGAAGTCATAAATATATGCTACAGGCAATGTTGGGGACGGCTAGAGCATTTTATGTTCATGTTATCATGTTCTTTGGACAGACACCCGGAGTGGGATTGCTGGGTCATATGGCATTTCTATTTTTAGCTTCTTATGGAAACTTTATACTGTTTCCCAAAAGTGGTCACATATTTATATTATTTATTCCCATGACAGTGCATTTTCTCAATATCTTCTGATAAACATTTTATTTCATGTGATTATTTTTAATAAGGAGGCCAGGGGTTTGGGCTCAGGGATCCCTCCTGGCAGAGCATGGGGGACCGTAGATGGTGCTGGGGGTCGATCTGTGTTTGGCTGTGTGAAAGTGAAGTGCCCCACCCTCTGTATTATCTCTCTGGATCCATAAACAATTCAGTGAAGTATAGTTTTTCTACTCTTTTCACTTATGATGTGGTCTAGTCATCCCTGAAGGCATATAGTTCTCTCCCTGTCTCTTCCTCTCTGTCTCTCTCTCTCTCTGTCTCTCTTTCTCTTCTTCAAGAAGACTTGTTTTGGGTTTTTATATTTTGGTTTATGATTTATCTTAAATTATTATTCAGGAGGCGATAGGGATTGAACACACACGAAGCATTTGCTCCACCACTAAGCTACATTTCTGACCCCTTTAGTATTTGTCGATGTTGTTTTGAGTTACTCCCAGAGGCAGTGCTCAGGGCTTACTCCTGGCTTTACACTCAGGACTCACTACTGGCAGACTCGGAACCATATGGGATGCTGGGGATTGAACCCGGGCTGGCTGTGTGCAAGGCAAGTGCCCTACCTGTTTTGCTATTGCTCCAGCCGCTGCTTCAATATTGGTTTGTAGTATGAGGTATGAGTTAATATTACTTTGTTCCCCCCCCCCCCCCAGATCTCTCCCATCACTGACTTGGAACTCTCTTCCCTATTACTTCATTGGACGACTTGCTTGAAATTCACCTGAACACGTGTACGTGTGGGTGTGTTCTAGACTCTTGGGCGTATTGATCTGTTGGTCTTGAGGGCAGCAGCTTTGAGAGTCTTGAAATCAGGTAGCGTAGCTTTTCAGATTTTGTTCTTTTCCAGGACTGTTTTGGCCACTCTACCTAGTTCCTTTGTGCATGTACAGTTTAGAGTTTGTTTGTTAATTAGTTTATGCCCCCCCCCCCCACACACACACCTTTCTGCTTTTGGGCTGCACCTGGCATTATCAAAGGCTGCTCCTATCTTGATGCTCTGGAGTCACTCGCAGCAGTGCTCAGAGAAACCATGCAGGAACCAAGTCAGCATATAACCCAGACTTCCTCAGATAAAATGTGCATGGGGCCGGAGAGATAGTATAACTGGCAATGAGCTTGCTTTGTGCATGCTGACTTGGATTTGGTTCCTGGCACCACACAGGGTCCCCCTGAGCTCCAACAGGAGTGATCCCTGAGCGTAGAGCCAGGAGCAGTCATGAGTGTGGCCCAAACAAAACAAACCCAAGTTAATTGATTAAAATCAGGCGCTCAGCCCTTTGAGCTATCCATCTCCCTGGCCCCAGCCGCTTGCAAATTCCTTTTAAACAAAAGGTCTTCTCCACTGGGATTTTAACTGGGATCATGTTATCTACATTGGTCATCTGGGGTGAAGTGCCACCACAGCATTTAACTGTTGCATCTCTCCTCCCAGCAGGCTTACCAAGCTGGTCTCTGCACCTCTGACTTCTCCCTGAGGACCTCACTCTCTTCCTTTCATGCTTTCCGAGGCATTTTACCTAATGCTTAGTGCTGTTGCAAATGATATATTTGAGTACTTATTTTCTGGGTCTTGCCAGTGCTTACTAGTTTTAGTGGTTTGAATTTTTGCTAGAACTCTTTTGGATTTTTGTCACAGCCAGGTCTGATATCTGGATGTCAAGATTTGCTTCTTTCTTTGTGATCTTCACAGCTTTTACTTCTTTTGCTCCTGTGACTTATTGTTGTCATGGAAGTCCACAAGTCTGTTTTTAGCCCACCCTCCAATGTTGCGGCCCTCTGGTAAGCCCTGAGTGGTGCTCTTCTCCTGGACCTGCTGCCTTGGGCAGGCTGGGAGCTGGCGCCCAGTGACACTCCATGGGATGGCACACGTCCTCCCAACCCAGCACTAAGCCGAACACCCGCATCTTCTGGGCTCCCCATCGCCACTACCCCTCCCCCCCTGCATCTTGCCTCTGGGTAGGGAGGCCAGGGGTTGCCAGCACTTGCTGTGGTGGATCCTGCTGGTGACATTGTTGTCATCTGCCTCAGGGCTTGACATGGAGGAAGGGAAGGAAGGAGGCACTTGGCTGGGGATCAGCACGCGGGGCAAACTGGCAGCGCTTACCAACTACCTGCAGCCACGGCAGGACCCGGATGCCCGAAGCAGAGGTACTTGGGTGGGGTTGGAGCCACGAAGGGACGAGGCCCCAAGGGGAGGGAAGGTCTCCCTCCTTCCCCACTGCCCTGCTGATTGGGAGGTATCTCTGTGTTAGAACCACCTTCTGCCTGGGCAACATAATCATTCTTCACTGTCATTTTTTTGGGGGGTGGGGAGGTGGGGGGATTTGGGTCACATCCTGCGATGCTCAGGGGTTCATCCTGACTCTGCACTCAGGAAACTGCTGACGGTTCTCGGGGAACCATATGGGATGACAGGGATTGACCCTGGGTCGACTGTGTGCAAGGCGAACACCCTACCTGCTGTACTATCGCTCCAGCCGCTCCTTTTATTTTTGGGCTGCACTTGGCTATGCTCAGGGCTTACTCCTGGCTCTGTGCTCAGGAATCACTCCTGGCAACAAACGGACCTTATGTGATGCCAAGGGTCAAACCTGGGTTATCTGCAAGCAAGGCAAGTGCCTTACCCACTGTATCTTATCAACCCCCCCCCCCCCCCACGCACACAAATATCATTCCTCACTTTGTCTCATTGCCTCCCAGGATTTCACTCATCACTCTTGTCTCTTTGTCCTCCACCCCACCTGTTCAAAGTTGGAAAAGCAGACCCCCAGAGAGGGCCACTCTTCGGACACACAATGTTCCCCCACCCTGAAGATTTTTTTTCCCGTCTCATGCTGGGCTCCCATATGGGGCTTTATGGAGAGGAAATATCAGTGAGCCGGGTCAGTGAGGTGTGGCTAGCAGGGGGTGCGGACAGCCCATTTCCCCACTTGCCCCCCACCTCCGCCTTCCCACGGAGAGGATCTCAGCCTCATCACCTTGACCCCGGGTATCTGTCCCCCGCACACAGGTGAACTTGTGGCCCAGTTTCTGACCACCGACATGGACTGCCTGTCCTACCTGAGGAAGGTCTCCACAGAGGGCCACCTCTACAACGGCTTCAACCTCCTCGCAGCCGATCTGAGGTGGGTCAGCGGGCCCCCTCCGTGTCACAGGCCAGCGGAAGGTGGACTTCCAGCCCTGCAACTTGGGGACAGTGTGTGGCAGCTTCTTCAGGGACCTTGTTCAGGAGGGGCTGGGGGCACGTCCTGAGGGCTGGCCCCCCCCGACCCCCCCCCCCCCCCGCGCAACTCACGACTGCAGGGACTTGGGGAGCATAGAGGGGGCAGGGGGCTGCCCTTGACACTGAGTCCACTGGCACCAGGGCGGAGAGACCAGACATAGCTGCAGCAGACACTCTCTGGGCACCGGGGACCCCTTACCCTCCCTGGCCTTCTGCCTCCAAGTCTTCCCAGGCCTGTGACGGAGAACCCTGGTTTCCAGACGCCTTTTGTTCACTTGCTGGAATGCAGAGCAGGGACTTGGAGGCTGGAGAAGGCAGCGCCAGGTACCAGTGGCTCTGACAGGAGGCCCAGGCCCACCGTGGGCTGGCACTGCTGGCACTGGGGCTGAGCGTTCTCGAACAGCCTATTCAGATTTTCCCTCTCATGGTCCCTTTTCACTGGAGAAATGTGACAGGGTCCGGTGTTGCCCAAAACGTCTTACAAGGCTTCATTATGTGTTTGATTTTGAGTGAATTTCTGGCCCCTGTAGGCTTAGAAATCTCTTACCATTGCCCAGTTTTCTGCAGTCCCCACATCTAATTGTGCAGCCCCACTTGGAGTTGTGCCCCATAGGTTAAGAGACCAGGTTTTAGAACAGGGGGATTTTTTAAAAAAATTTATTTATTTATTTATTTATTTATTTATTGAATCACTGTGGGAAAGGTTACAAAGCTTTCAGGTTTAGGTCTCAGTCATGCAAATATCAAACACATTTCCCTTTACCAATACTTATTTTTTACCATGAAGAACCCCAATAAAACCCCACCCCCCACCCCTCCCCGTCCCTGTAAGGCAGATGAATTCTAGTTAACACTCTATCTGCTTTGATTAGATTCATTGTTTCAATAAAAGATTCACCACTATTATTTAGAGTTTACCCCCCCCCCCCCAAATCAGACATGCTGAAAAAGCATTGTGAAGTGATTTGCTTTCTACAGCTGGGTTCAAGAATTAAATGTTGGTTTTGGATTTCTGCTATTTTACCTATTGACCCTGGAAGTATTTCTACTGAAAGTCAGATAGTTAAGAAATTGGTTTCTGTGTTCTGGAGTCGTGGCCGTGCTGGAGCGCCGCTCGTGGGGGCAACTGGTGGCCTTGGTAGGGCGTGAAGGGCGGAGCGAAACGCCCCCCTTCCCATGAGGTTTTAGTCGCCCCCACACTCCCGGCTCATACCTGCTGTCCACAAGGCTCCCATGTGGCCGCCATCTTTCTTTCCAGAGGGAGGAGGGCGGAAGGAAGCAACACCCTTTCCCCTCTGGGCAGAAATGATTGCCTGGATTAACGCATAGTCCTTTCATTTTTCTGCTCCAAGCTGCTGGGTTCTGCATTAAGTCCTTGTGCTTCTGGGGCTGTGGCCGTGCTGGAGAGCCGCTCGTAGGGGGCAACTGGTGACCTCGGTAGGGCGTGAAGGACGGACCGGAACGCCCCCCTTCCCATGAGGTTCCAGTCACCTCCACACCCGAACAGGGGGATTTTTTTTCTGCCAAGGCCACTTGGATGTTGATTTGCTTTGCTTGTGGGGAACACACCCAGAAGTGCAAGGGGGCTATGCCCAGTTCTTTTCTTTGGGCAGGGGCTCCTTCCTGCTCCCTTGGGAGATGCAAGCTCTGCCCAGCAGCCCTGGGTGTGTGAGAGAGGGGTCAGACTCACGGGCTTGTGGGCACTTGGGAAGGACCTGCCCTCTAGGGTGGTATCGGAGGTTACCTGCAGCACGCAGCTCCTGGGAGCATGTTCATTTTCCTACCCCAGAGCCTGGACCCTGGCCATGGGCTGGTAACAATGCTCCCAGGATGGCCTGCAGCCCAGGACTGTTACCCACTGCCCCTGCCGCCTAGGGAACAGAGGTTGCCAGTGACAGAGCCCCAGGTGGAGGGAGCATGGGTGTCTCGTGGGAGTTATGATGGGACCTTGTCCCCAAAGCCTGTTCTCAGGCCACCAGCAGGACACTGGTACACACGGTCCAGGCCTCCCCTCAGTCTGCCAATAGAGGGAATGTGAGGAGCCTCAAACGAGTGTCTCCAAGCCTTGCTGAGCAGTGGTGGGTTTCAACTGTGTGGGAGCATCCTGAGAGTGGGGTTCACTTTAGACTCAGTCTGTAGCAGTTTACCCTCTGGTGCAGTGAGCATGCCTCTGTCCTCACTCGGGGCCTCCTGCCCCGGGAGCGGGTGACGCCTGAGGCCCAGGGCCTTCTGCCCCAGCATCCCTGAGGAGGTGGTGAGTCTCTCTGAACCTGCCTTCATTACTTTTGGGCGGGAGGTTGGGGGCCTGTTTGTACACCATCAACTGTACTGTTATTCTTAGCTCTGTGCTCAGGGGACCATGTAGTTCCAGGAATTGAACTGGAGTCAGCTGTAAGCAAGTCAAAAGCTTTCCCAAATTCTTAAGAGTTTTTTTTTCCTGGTTGTTTTTTTTTTTTTTTTGCGGGGGGTGGGGGGAACGTGGGGGTGCTCAGGGCTGACTTCTTGCTCTGAGTTTAGGAATCATTCCTGGCAGAGCATATGTGGTGCTAGAGACCAAGCTTGGATCCACTGCATGCAAGACAAGTACCCTACGCACTGTGCCGTTGCCCCATCCCCCCCAGGAAGAATGTGAACCGCACGCAGAGGTGCGTGGGCCAGGAATCCCGCCTGTGGGTGGCACTCTGGCCCAGCCCTTTCTCTCTTTGTTCATGCCAAGGCACGGGCGTCACGTTCAGCAACTCTGGACAAAGGCCGCTCGCAGAAAGGCCAGGAGGAGCCCTCTTGAGTTTGTGGAAAAGTCATTCCAGGTTTTAGCAGAAAGATTTACTATGGTATTTAGGAACTGGAACATTTTTCCATTCTGGCACATTTCAGGCTATTTTTAAGTGCACACTCCTGCAGCTGAGAGTAGGTGAACGTGGTTCTGTGTGCTGAGTGGAGAAGCCTGTGGCACCCTGCGGCAGCCCATCTAGCAGGAGATGAGCTGTAGGAATGGGGCCAGATGCTTTATGGGGGGCTTGCTCATCTCCCTACCCTGCTCATGCAGGCAGCCTCAGGGCCTGGCATTGGCTGCAGGGTCTTTTTTTCTTTTTCTTTTTGGGTCACAGGGATTACTCCTGGCTCTGCACTCAGGAATTACTCCTGGCGGTGCTTGGTGGACCGTATGGGATGCTGGGAATCGAACCCGGGTTGGCCACGTACAAAGCAAATGCCCTACCCACTGTGCTATCGCTCCAGCCCCTGCAGGATCTTTTAGAGCAGGGCTTCTTAAGCTCCACTCCCACTCACCCGGCAGAGGCAGCACAGCCAGAATCCCATGGGATTCAGCATGTGTTTGTTGGTGCATTCATTTTCACGGTTGCCAAAGTTTTCATGACCTGGAGCTCAGTCATAGAGGAGGTGGTGACCATGGTTTAGGAGGCAAGGCTTTAGGTGGCGACACTTTCCCCTCTCTGGTCCCCTTGGGGAGCTAGCGCTGTTGATGACTCCTGAAGGGCGGGAGCCCTGATTCCCCCTTGACCTGGCCTGAGGAGCACTGGAGATGGGACATGGGGTCTGACAACAGTCCCATGGCTCTGGTCTGACCACTGTTCTCTCCACACACAGCACGGCAAAGGGAGATATGATCTGCTACTATGGAAACCGAGGGGAGCCCGAGCCTGTCGTGCTGGCACCAGGTAAGCCCCCTGACTCTGGGGACACTACTGGGACCCCTAGCATACTTCCAGAGACTGGGGCTCCCCGTCTTCTTTTCTTGCAGGGCAGGGAGGTTTGGGGCACAACCTGCAATGCTTAGGGGCTATTTCTAGCTCTGTGCTTGGGGTCCCATGTGCGATGCTGTGGATCGAACTGGGACCAGCTGTGTGCAAGGGAAGCACCCTTATACTATCTTGTCCTCTGACTTCTTTTTTAAAAATTATTTATTTATGATTTTGCGTGTGTGTGTGTGTGTGTATGTGTTGGGGGGGGATCCACACGCAGAGATGCTCAGTGGTTACTTCTATCTCTGCGCTCAGGAATTACTCCTAGCAAGGCTGGAGCAATAGTACAATAGGGACGGTGTTTGCCTTGCATGCAGTTGACCCAGGTTCGATCCCTGGCATCCCGTATGGCCTCCTGAGCACCGTCAGGAGTAATTCCTGAGTGCAGAGCCAGGAATAACCCTTGAGCATTGCTGAGTGTATCCCAAAAGGCCAACAACAACAAAAAAAGGGGGGGGGAATTACTCCTGGCAATGCTCAGGGAACCATATGAAATGCCAGGGATTGAACCCAAGTCAGCAGTGTGCAAGGCCAGCGCCCATCCCACTGTACTATGGCTTCAGCCCCTGGCCTTCTGACTTCTTTCTGTCCCAGAACTCTGCTTAGTTCGTACCCTGTGGTCCATGCTGGCCCATGGCCCAGACTCAGACCACATGAAGGTGCCACACTCAGGCCGCGTTCCCTCAGCAACAAGCCCTTTACTGGAGAACTGCGAGCGGATCCCCTCCCCCACTTCTCAGCAGTGGCCCAAGGCTCCTGTGGGGGCTGCTGGCAGGCAGCACACCAGGTGTCCTCACTTCTCAGTGCCAAGACCCCGGTGTTGGTGAGACTTGCCTTCTGCCAAATTGTTGCTGCCAAAATTTTTGGGAGGAATTCTTTCAACAGTATTCTGCATTTCCATCCCCAAGTCTGCACCCCCACAGCTAGATGTCACTTGGACCCCTCTGACTTTCTTTCCTTTTTGGCAGGGGGAGTTTTGGGGGCCACACCCTGCAGTGCTCAGGGACTATTCTTGACTCTGTGCTCAGGAATGACACCCCCCCCCCCCCCGCAGTGATGCTTGGGGCGGGGGAAACGGGACCATTTTTGGTGCCCAGGATCTAACCAGGTTGACTGTATTGAGTCTATACAAAGTCCATAGCATACAAGCGTCTTAAGTCCTGTACTCTGGCCCCCATGTCACTTTCTAGACAAAATTGTGCAGTCATCACCATGTCAACACTCCCAGAGAAGCTCCCTGCCCATGCGTAGTCATGTCCCCTGCCCCTCCTCAGTCCTAGAACCACTGATCTTGTCTGGATCCGCTGAGTGTGGTCCCTCAAGCACCGCCAGGTGTAATTCCTGAGTGCAGAGCCAGGAGGAACCCCTGAGCATTGATCGCCTGGTGTGACCTCAAAGCCAAAACAAATAACAATTTAAAAAAAAGTCCCAGAAGAAGAGACCTGAGGTTTGGACACTGGTCTCTGATGCTGTGTGGTGTTTGTGGGACTCATTCGTGCTGGCTCAGGGCTGCTCACTTTCCCTTTTGTGATGGAATCAGGTCCCAGTGTGTGTTTTCTTTCTACACTCATTTGTTAATGGGCACTTGGAGTATTTTCATCTTTCAGCAGTTGTGGGTAATGATGCCATGAGCATTTATTTCAAAATTTTGTGCAGCAGAGATATGCTTTTATCTCTCATGTCTACACCTCGGAGTGAAATTGCAGGGTTACAGGTAACTGTTTAACCTTTTTAGGAATTGAGAAATTGGCTTCCAAAGCACTTACATACCGTTTTATATTGATATTGTTTTGAATTCTCACCAGTTCTCTTTAGGTTTTAATTGTGTCCCGTCTTCATCAACACTTGTATCTTTCCTTTTTTGATTTTTTGATTTAAAAAAAAATTGAGCTATACCCAATAATGCTCAGGACTTACTCCTGGATCGCTTCTGGTGGGGCTTAGAGAAACACATGAGGTATCGGAGAATCAAACTCAGGTCTGCCACATGTAAAGCAAGTCTCCTACCCACTGTACTTTCACGCTGGCCCCAACATTTTTTCTTTCTTTTCTTTTATTTTCTTGGAGAGGGTCACACTTGGTGGTACTCATGCTACTTTCCTTGTCCCTTCTCTCTGTTGAGGTTGTTGTGCTGGTCACAGTCACACATATGCTCGGGTGTGGTGCTCACAGGGTCGCTCAGCAGCCTGCGGGGCTCAGGCATTCAGCCGCGGTGCTCCAGGTGCTCACACTCCTTTTGGCGCAGTGCTGACTTGCTGCCTGTTGCAAGTGGTAGCCGTGGGGCCTGCACACACGCTGGTTGTAGAACTCAGCCCCGAGCACAGCCAAGAGTGATTACTACATGCAGAGCTAGGAGTAAGCCCTGAGCTTATTGGAGGTGGTTCAAAAGCAAAGCAACAACAAAAACCTACACACGAAAAGCTTCGTCTTAGATTCAACAGTGATTTCTTAGTTTTGACACCAAAAGCACAAGCCATAACAACAAAAAAGATTGAACTTCATCAGCGTTCGATCTAGTTTTGCCAGGCAAGCACCTCAGCTGTGCTCTGTCTCTTCTCCTATCTCCTTGTGCTTCCTCTGGGCCTACTATACTCTGGCCGCTCGGCTGTGTCTTCTAAGTTTTAATACTTGAACATGTGTGTTTAGGGCCAACCTGGGGCATAATGGTTTGATTCTTGTGTCTGCTGTGAGTAGGGATCTACCTCCTGGCTTGCCCATGGATACCTGGTGCCCAGGATCTCTGTTGAATGGAGTTTCCTGCTGCTCCTGGGGATAAAGTTCATAACCTGGGGACTGGGGGTTGTGCTCGTGGGCACCTGGTGGAATGGGGCTGGCTTACAGGGAAGTGACTTCCATCACATCACAGGTAGTGGTGACTGTCCCCCAGGAGGGGGGCAAGGGTTGTGTATCTCTCCATGTCTTCTAACATTTCCAGCTCATCTGCCTCTGCTCCCTTCCACAGTCTCCAGCTCCGCCTGAAGCCTGTGCCTCCCCACCACCCTGGGGCCCCCTCTTTTGGTCGTCCCTTCTGCTAACCCTGGCAGACACAAGTGCTGACCCCCAGCAGCACCCCCGGCCCAGGGCTCCTCCTGTGTACCCTCCTGGTCTCGGTTTGCTGATTCTCTTAGCCATGACCTTCTCAGACTGATCCCCAACGTCAGCTCTTTCGTAGCTCAGAGATGGGACGGAAAGGGGGCCGCGGTTCCGCAGTACCCCCTTCCCTTTGCCCAGTTGGGTTTCTGGCCATTGATTCCTTAATTGCATATCCATCGAGACCGCCCGACCCCTGTGCGTGCCCCCAGTGCTCACTCAGATGTCTGGCTCTGCTGAGCTTTCCGTGCACACAGACCTGGAACAGACCTGGAACGTGCCAGCAGTGGGGCCAGACCGCCGCTGCCTTGCCCCTTGCCAGGTGGGCGGGAATGTCTCCTGAGTTCAGACCAGGACCTCTGAGCGGGCTGCTGGTCCTGCTTCCACAGGCTCCTACGGCCTGAGCAATGCCCTGCTGGAGACACCCTGGAAGAAGCTGTGCTTCGGGAAGCAGCTGTTCCTGGAGGTGGTGGAACAGAGCCAGGTGCTCCCCAAGGACGCCCTCATTGCCCAGCTCCTGGAAGTGCTCAATAACGAGGAGGCGTGAGTGGCCGGGCCCTGGGCAGAGGGAGGGTCTGCTGTGCTGGCCAGGGAGGGGGACCTGCTGCCCTCTGCCTCCCTTGGGCATATTAGGTTTCCAGTGGGGTCCTTGGATAACAGGTGTGGGATCTCCAGGCCTGTGGGCAGAATCTCTCTGCTGTCAGACACAAGGCCTGCTGCTGCTCGTTTAGAGCTCAGAGTAGCTGGAGGTATCCCTCTGCACAGAGAGGGCTGGTGGAAATTCCAGAAAACTCCAGGAGCTTACTTGGCAAACCACAGAAACAAGATGCCAACCTGTGTGTGTGTGTGTGTGTGTGTGTGTGTGTGTGTGTGGTGGTGGTAGTGGTGGTTGTGGATTTTTAGGGTGTGACAGTCTTTCCCACACACTGTCCCACCAGTGGCCAAGGCAGACCTGTCCCAGGAATTACCTTGGGGAGGGGGTAAGAAGATGATTTCCTCTGCTTTTTTTAGGGGCTCAGGAATTAATTTTCATCTGTGCAAGGCAATGCCCCAGCCCAGTTTTCTCTTGGGAATCCTTGAGGCACATCAGGTGGTTGCAGCCCCAGAGCTGCCCCCCAGCCTGAGGACAGGGCAGGTCCAGCTGGCTTCTTCCCCCTAGTGGTGCAGCCCTCCTGTCCCTCCATGCCCACCCCCAGCCAGGCTACTGTCTGACCCAGTGGCCCTGTGGGAGTCTCCTTGGCTGCCTCCCCGTCCTCTCTCTGGGGACCCCTCCAAGACCTGCTGCCCCTTTTCCTCTCCTCTCTGAAGCTGGCACCCTGGGCCTAGCACAGCTGCCCCTTGGGGACCCCCTGCAGGGCCCATCCTGGTGACCCATGCTGAGCTCCTGTGGCCCTGTCACTGCTGTTGTCCCATAGCTGGTGCTGCCGTGTTTGATGTCCATGGTCCGGCACTGGCTGATGGGCTTGAGTGGGCCTCTGTGGCATGGACAGATACCCACAGGGCACCTCGCGGGCAGGCAGGGTGGGCTTGTGCCCTGGTGACTGTGTCAGCCCACCCAGAGGAGGGGGAGTGGCTGCTGCAGGCTCCAGAGATGGCTTCTGGGCTCCCCAGTAGGTCACTCTTCCTGGGATTCCTCTGCCCAGCTGGGTTTTCCTCTTTGCCAAGCTCATGGGCACTCCAGGCCCTGGGAGTCTGGGCTCTGGGGGAACCCGTGGCGACTCTGGCAGGGGGTGACTGCCTGGTGAGCAGCATCAGGCACACGGGGCCGGTGGTGGAATCCCAGGAGAGGCTTGATGGAGGTTTCTGCTCACGAGCAGGAGACGCTGTCTGTCCCTCAGTCCTCACTCAGGATGCAGAGGCAGGAAGCTGCAGCGACTCCGTCTCTCTCCTTGCAGGCAGCTGCCAGACCCGGCCATCGAGGACCAGGGCCGGGAGTACGTGCAGCCCATACTGAGCAAGTACGCGGCTGTGTGTGTGCGCTGCCCAGACTACGGCACCAGGTGCGCCCTGTCTGGTTGGGGGGGGTGGGGGCGGGTCCTGCAGTCTCTGCCCAGGGTGGGTGCCTGTGGGTGGGGGAGACCTGCACCACGGTTAACAGAATCCCATCCAGAATGCCGGCTCCCTCTGGCACCCCTGCCCCGCACGCAGCCCCGCCTCTTCTGACATGGCCCTGGGGCTGGGGTGGCGTCGGAAGCTCCAGTGGATACAGCCCTGCAGGCCTGGACCTCCTACCGCGCAGCTCGTCCCTGCGTGCACTGTACCTCCAGGCCTGTCCTATCCTAAGTGTGACCCAGGAAAAGGGTCACCACTGCTGTTGGCTGCAGACCGAGGCCCTCTGGGAGCATGTCCAGGACGGGGGTTGACAGTGTTCTTTTCCCGTTCTCTTGTGGGTGGAGGAAGAGAAGTGGTGCCAGGCCCAAAACCTGGACCACCCTCTTCCATGGCTGCCATGCGGGAATAGGGGGGCTGCTGCCAGAGACAGCATGTGGTCTCAGGCGTCCCCAGTCTGCTCACTTTGCTTCGGGGTCTGCAGTGACCAGGGTGGACAGGCTGAGGTGGTGACAAATGGCAGCTGGTGCAGGGTGCTGCCACGTGTGTGTCTGCTCTTGGGGTTCATGTCTGGTGAGAGAGCGAGGCCCCTTTTGTTTCTTCAGGAAGCAAGGTTGGCTTGTCATCACCTCTGCAGCTCCCTTGGGAGACTGGGGCGGGGTGGGGAATCACAACTCTGCCAGGGCTGAGGACATTGATGTGAGGGACAGACATGACATCCTGGCGACCAGCTGACCTAGAGGACAGCAGGCCTGAGTCTTCACCGCCCCCCGCCCACCACAAGGCGACTTCAAGTCTTGTCGCTGGTGTTGGGGATGGTGGGGACACATATGGCATGACGCCCTTAGCAATGGCTTCCCCCTGGTGGACACGGGTGCTATGCCCCATCCCTCAGCTCCTGTTCTACCCCTCACTTCCGTGTGTGTGTGTGTGTGTGTGTGTATTCACAAAATAAATAACTGATCACGGCTGCGGTGGAGACATGGTCTCCAAGTGCGTTCAGTGGCCATGAGCTGCTTCTCCCACTCGGGGCCTGCAGCCGCTGCCAACAGACACATGTAGGAGGGAACAGGGCCGCCAGGCTGGTTGGTGATTAGTTGCTGTTTATTCCGTTCTCCCCACGTGCCTGTTCCAGTCTCACTGAGCGCCCCATTCCAGTCTCACACTGCCCCTCATTTCCGGCTTCTCCTCCTGTTCCCCATGCTAGTCTCACAGCCTAGGTCTCCTGCCCAACCTACAATCAACTACAAGCAGGTGAGGTAGCACAATCAACATACGAAAGCCCTTCCTTCAGAGGAAAGCTCTTCTAAGATAAGACAAAGATCTCCTGCAGCCAGGAGATCCTAAAGGGTGAAATACCATTTAGGGGTGTGTTTCTACTTTCCTTAGTCCAACAACCATCTTAAATTTACTTCTGAATAATCTTTCTAGTAATTTTGTATGGACACAGAGATATATTAAGCTTGTAGGGTGGCTCTCTGGGGGACATCTCGCTATGGATCCCAGACTCAGTGCTCAGGCCAGATTAGTCTTTCCTAACACTAGCAGGAAATCCAGTTGTTACTCTTTGGATCATGACAGAATTTGTCCCTGACCATGCTCTTAACTTATAGTTAAGTATCATGGCTCTTGGCCTGACCCATTTCGATGCCAGGATAGCTCACAGCTTGCCCTGGGTCCTTTCCAGTCCCTCGTTGGGACCCTTGCTTCGGGGGGGGGGGTGGGATGCTAGGAACTAAGGGCAATTGAGGCTTAAGTCGAGAAAACAGATGCCCAGGAGTGAATATATTCAGAGTCAATTAACTTCCGAGCTGCAAAAGCATAGCATTAACTGTCTTCCTGTGTCCATACAAAAAGGACATTGCTCTGAAGTAAACTGTGCAGAAGGACATAAGAGAAGGAGAAAAGCAATATTTTACTTACAGATATAAAATCAGAGATTTCTTTACAAGTCACAGGTACTGCTTAGGGGAAATAGGTGATTAACCGGTTGGGGAAGCAGAGCACAGAGAAGAGATTAAAGATAAACACAGAGGAATGGGAGTGCCTCAGGAGCACTGTGATTGGTGTGACCCAGTAAACCTAGGTTCCCTGTGGCCAGGGAGAAAGGACAAACCAATGTTACCCTACACCTCTGGACCGGGTTTGGGTGCCAAGTTGCATGCTCATGTGTGCTGCTATGTGTGAGACCAAGTGCTGGCAAGTGCCTGCAGATTCAAACCATTGGTTCACCCCCCAGTCTGCAGTCTGCAGGTGCCTGCCCTGCTCACGGGCCTGTCCTGCACTTGAAGTGGTGGTGGAGGATTCAAGAAAGAAGGACCCCAAAACTGAAGGGAAGGTGGTTAGGAGAAAGAATGCTAAATATTTGGGACAGGGTTCAGAGTAAGTGGGCAACAAGACTGAATACTGCTTTTGATTGATTTATTTTTGGTTTTGGTTTTGGGACCAGGCCTGAAGGTGCTCTGGGGCTACCCCTAGCCCAGAGCTTGGGAATTGCTTCTGGTGGTGGTTGGGGAACCAAGTGGCGCTGATCTGAGCCTCTTGCATGTAGAACTTGTGCTCGTCTGTTGAGCTCCATTTCTAGCCCAGGGAGTGGGTGGGGGTGGCTGGGTGTTAGGTGCACATGGCCTGGGCCTCAAGGGGATGTAGATAGTACACCGGGTAAGACACTTGCCTCGCACACAGCCAACCCAGGTTTGATCCCCGGCACCCCATATGGTCCCCCAAACCCACCAGGAATGATCCTTGAGCACCAAGCTAGCAGTAAGCCCTGACCATGCTGGATGTGGCCCCCCCAAAGTGACCTGCTCCCCCAATGACTAGGGCCTTGATTTCTTGTTAGAGCCCAGTGCAGTGAACTCTCTGGCACCTTGTAGGGAATCCTGATGAGTTGGGCAGTACATGGTGGGTTCAGGGGCTGCTCCAGTGGCAGTGGTGGTGGTTGGGACTTGTGCAGGGCAGGCCAGAGGTATTTTAGCATGGTTGAGATGGACTAGTTGGGTATGGACTGCAGGGCCAGTGTAAAGCTCCAGTCCCCACTGGGCTCAGGGCTGAACCCCCCAGATTGACCCACCTGTTCCCTAAGGCTGAGGCTGCTCCTTTGTGGTTATCCTCCAGCCATTCCCCAGGAGTGGGGCAGCGGGCCCTCCTGCCTTGGCTCCCACCTCTTGCCCAGGGGCAAGGGTAGCAGGCTGAGTGTGTGCTCTGTGCTCTCTTACAGAACCAATACGATCATCCTGGTGGATGGGGATGGGCACGTGACCTTCACGGAGCGCACCATGCTGGACAAGGACCCTTTGCGCTGGGAGACCAGCACCTATGAGTTCAGGCTGCAGAGCTAATGGGCTGCTGTGAGGGGAACAACCCCAGCCACATGTACCGCCCATAATGTTCCATATCCCCAGTGCCAGGCCCTGTGACTTGTGTGCAGTCCATCTGTCTCCCCGTACCGAGGCCTGCCATCATGCTGCCCTTGGGGAAAGATGGAGGCATGGTTGGGGCCTGAGAAAAGCTCTTCGGAGAGGAAGAACAGCCTGCCTGGTGGACTCAGGGCATCCTGAGTGTGCTGGGGGCCTCCTGTGGGGAGCAGTTTTGTATGTGTTTGGGGCTCCACGTGGGGGGTGGGCCCACCTATACCTGTGCATCTCAGCAGGCTCTCAGGTATTAAAGCATGTGGATTATTTATAAGTGGGCCCAGGTGAACCAGGGGTCACAGCCAGACTGTCTTGTCCCTTGTCCCTGGGAGTGCAGTTCCAGAGGGATCTGTGCTTCAGTTGCTTCATGCTGAGAATAAACTTTGAGGCAGTGACAAGCCTGTGCCTGGCAGGCTCCTGACTTGTGTGACAGACAGGCTGGTGCTGACATGGCTGTGGGCTGGGTGGGGGCTGTTCCCGGGCCTTGGCAGCTCCTGTGGATGCAGCACAGCTGTGGTAATGACTCTGGGCTCGAGGCCTCCTGAGCATCCTCGGGTGTGGAGGATGTGTGTGGAGAGTCACAAACTTTAGGACCCTTCAACTGGGTTATGGAGCCAGAGGTTCACAGGGCTGTGGGATGAGCCTGCTGTGAGGACCCTGGGAGGGAAGTATGTGGTCTGCACTCTGGGTAGACCCCGGAACCAGGGAAGGGGGAAGAGCAACCCAGGACTGGGGTTTTGTTTTGGGTGAGCGCTCAGAATTTCTCCCCACCCCACTAGAGTGGAAGGTTTCAGACAACCGGTGCTGAGGCACGTTATCTGCCCCCATAGCCGGTGGGGGTGAGGGGAGCCTCTGACGGGGTGCACTGTAGACCTGCCCTACACTGGCTCCCCTCTCCTAACCTTCCCCTGTTCTGGACACTCCTCAGGGGTCCTTGGCTCGTTTTGAACTCAGAAGAAAAATACTCCAGCACAGTCAGGCCTGATGGTGGCTCTCAGCAGGAAGGCACCCACACCCCTGGCCCAAGGCCCTCACCTGTGTCTAGCTGAGCTACAGGGATCCAGTCTCTCAGCACCCTTCCACCGCATCAGGGAACCACCCCATGTCACACCAGTGCCCATACTGGCATCCCTCAGACTGGACATGTCCTCCACCCTTGGACATGTCCTCCACCAGCTGGATGAAGCTATCTGTGAAAACACTCTCCTCTCCATCCCAGATGTTTACCCCTGGGCCTGTCTAGAGGAAAAGTTTTCCTGGCACTTGTCATGCCTCCCCCGCCCCCGCTTGCCCTGGACTCCCCATTGCTGGTATTCTCCAGGTGGGGGCAGCCAAGATATAGATTCTTTTATTTTAGGTTGAAATATATGTCTCCTCAAAGATATGTTGGCGCCCTAGTCCCTAAGGGCGTGATCTTGGGCCTCTGTAGAGATGGCTTAGAGAGTTCAAATGAGATCACTAGGGTGGGTCTCAATCCCATAGGTGTCTTGATAAAAATAATTCTGGACACAGACGAGCCCAGGGCTGGCGTCTATGAAGATTGGACTTATGCTGTCACCTACCATGGAACCGCTGCGCACTGGGAGCGAGGCCGGGAACAGACCTTCTCTGTAGTTGCAGAGCGCTGAGGCCCTGCCAACACAACAGTCCCACATGTGCAGTTTTCAGGTGTGGTCCTGTGGAATATTCCTGCAGCCCACCGAGGATGATGTAACCCTTGATTGAGAAATACTGCTCTAATTCTTAGTTTTTAAAATTTTTTTTTTTTGGTTTTGGGTCATATCTGGTGGTGTTCAACGCTCGTTCCTGGCTCTGAACTCAGAGCACTTGTGGCAGTGCTCTGGGGACCATATGGGATTCCGGAGATCAAACCCCGATGGGCCACATGCAAGACAAGTGCCCTATCTGATGTGCTCTCTCTAGGGCCCTAAATCTTAACAGCATACCTGACTCCAGCAAAGTATTACAATCCGGAAAATGGCATTGATAGAAAACTCTACTTTTTTGGGGGGAGGAGGGTGGGAGGAGGGAGATCGATGGCCACATCTGGCTGTGCTCAGGGCTTAACCTGGCTCTATGTTCAGGGATCATTCCTGGAGTTCTCAGGGGACCATATGGGTTGCTGGGGATTGAACCTAGATTGATTGCATACAAGACAAGTGCCCTTGCCTCTAACTCTGTCTATTATCACTATGACCCTTGGGTTCTAGCTTTTGTTGTGTAAAGAATGCTATAACAGTTGGTTTTATTTCTCTAAGCAAAGGAGAAACAAAGATATTACATTCTCTAATGTAATATGTACATTAGAATGGAGGCCAGACTGTTAGCTCAGACTTGGAGGCAGTTCTCAAAATAACTTCATACCAGTGAGACTATAACTTCCAGGTTTGGGTGGATCCAGGTGATGATGTCTAGCCCGGTATCTGGGGGTGAGTTCTGATAAGGGAGGCAGCAGTTAAAATTGAAAGTTTTATTCAGTTTCTCTCACCCTGAGGGCAAGAGGAGAGAAGCAGTCTGAATTTAAAAGGCCTTTTGGTTAAGTTTCCTGCCTGGCTAACGGTGCAAAAGCTGGGGCTGGGTGAAGCCATTGGGGTATGAGGGGGAAATCTGAGAAGAACCGACAAAGGCTACAGTTGCAACAAGAATGAAACAGGGTAACAGCTCCTGCAGGTGCTTTATTGTCTCTTACCAGGGTAAAGTTACTATTTTCACTTTGCAACTAAGTTGCAAAGAAACTGGGGGAAGAAACACTGTAACTTTGTAAACCAGCTACAATAACAAAATAAAAGACCATTCATACTTTTTGCTCACTATATGTAGTATCCTTATTTTTTTGCCTGTTACAGTTACTGTACTGTCCCTTTCCCATTAACTTATGGCCTGTTAAAATGGGGGGCATTTGTGCTAAGTCCAGGAAGGCTTTAATAAATACCATAACCAAACTGAAGCTCAGGAATGTGGCTAGTCTCAGTTGGTCACTATGGAATTTTCTGGGCAGTACCAATGAGGTCATCTTTTCCTTTCCCCAGAGGAAGATGAGATAATCAACCACAAGACCTTTTTGCATTCCCTATAGGGTGGTTACTTAAACTTGCAAGGATTCTCTCTTCCGTTATCTTCCCTTTTTATGCCTCAAGCTTTTAATTACCTACAGCTTTTCGGAGTTCTCTTCGGGTGCTAGATAGATGGCTACCCAATTTAGTATTCGTTTAGTTTAGTCGCTTTGCTCTCGAAAATGGACTAGATTGAGTGTTTATTGAACACTTCCCTTTAGCCAAGCCCCTGCTAGAGCATGAACACCTGTACGGTTTTCCCTTCCCAATCAGGTTCATAGCTCTTCCTTAAAAAAAAAAATTAGACACAAAAGTTACAAAGTTATTCATGATTGGGTTGAAACATACAATGTTTCAACACCGATGTCTTCCTCAGTCTCCACTTGTCTTGCCATCCCGTTGCCTCCCACCACCAGTCTGCTTCTACGAGAGGCGTCTAGCTCCCACTCAGTGGGAACACGAGCACCGCGTGCGAGTCTGCACGCTCGCGCGGCCTACGCTGGCGTGGCAGGGGCCCCTAGCCGCCAGCCAGCTCCCGACGGTCCCGACACGCGCGCTCCCCGGCCTCCCCGCGCCCCCCGCTCCCGGCTTTCCCCGCGCGTCCCGTCCCGCGCTGCCCCGCTCCCGGCATCCTCCGCGCTGCCCCGTTCCCGGCGTGCCTCGCGGTCGGCACCCTCCGCGGGTGGAACTCCCACCCCCTCCCGGCGGCAACCGTTAGCGCGGCCGCGGCCGCGGCGGCTAGTCCCGCCCCCCGGGCCGAGCGATTCGGCCGCGCGTCGTGGTCGCGAGCGCCGCGCGTCGCCGATTGGCGGCCGCCGCAGCCCGCTCGGCTGGTTCCCCCAATGCGGGCACGCCGCGCCCCGGGATTGGCCGCTCTCCGCCAAGGCCCGCCCTCGCCCCTCGCCCCTCGCCCCGCGCGGCAGGCGGGTCCCGCCGACCGGAGAGAGCCTGGGCGGTCTTTCTAGGTGCGGCGCCGGGCGGCGAGGGCCTGCCGCTGCGGTCGGGCTGCGGGCAGCGCGGGGCAGGCCGCGGGCGCCGCAGGTAGGTGCGGGGCGCGAGGGGCGCCCCGCGGCGCGGGCGGACGCGCTCTGCGGCCTGCGCGCGGGCGCGCCCTTCCCCTCCATCCCGGGCCCAGGGCCGCGGGGCGGGGCGGGCGGGGACGCGGGGGCCCGGCCACGCGGACTCGGGCCTTTGTGAGACACCAGGGTCGCGGGCCTCGGCGAGCGCGGGCCCGACGCGGGTCCCGCCGCGCGCGGGGGGCTGGTGGGAGGGCGGGCCGGGGCCCACTGGGCGCGGACGCCGAGTGCTTTCCGCCCCGGGTGCGCCTTCCGAGTGCCCGCGAGGCGCCTTGGGCGTGCCGGGCCGGGACCCCCGCGGCGCACTCGCGCGGGGCCCGGGGCCCTGGGTCGCGCCCATCCAGAGCCCCTGCCTGTCTGTGTGTGACCGGGCCACCCGGACAAGTTCCCCAAGTGTCTTCTCCGCCAAATGCACACGGAGAAAGTGTTACGCAGATCGTTGGAATTTGGTTTCTTTGTAACAATGAACGCAGCGGAAGTGAACGGAGGTGGCAACCTGTTGACAGTGTTTACCGTCAAGTCTCTTTTGACGGACTTGGAGTGCTCGTGGTCGGAGTCTGGTTCACCTTTTGCATGCTCGCATGTTGCCCGCTGCTCCAAAGCCCCGTTTCCAGGCTGTGGACTGCTAGGCCAGCCACTAGGCGAGGCTCCTCTGTGTCCGTGCTGAAGATTGGATTCCTAGTCGCGGGGCCTGGTGCTGGGACGGAGAGGAGGGTGTTGTCGAGCGCTAAGACGGCCCGTCAGTCACCAGAGGGAGTTGGTGGGACTGCCTCTGCGTGCAGGACGTGAGGGCTGTTGGAGGATGACAAAAGGCCTGGGATGAGGTCATGCGCTCTGGGCTTGGGTGGGAGGCTGCAGTAGGAGAGGCCTGAGGGAGAGGCCTCAGTACTGGACCTACGCATTGGGAGCTGTGATGCCAGCCCAACAAGTGGACGCCAGCGAAGGGCACTGTTGAAACGCGTTGGTTTTACCCCCCTGCCAGGGATCCAAGATGAAGTGAGTGTGCTGCTGGCTTGCAGTCAGTCAGTTGGCACAGCAAGGTTTGCATGCAGTACAGTCTGCTGGAGCAGTAGTGAGGCCAGCGAGGCAGGAGAGCTGCCCGTTGGGTCCCTTCTGTCAGGGTCCTGGGGTGGTTTTCCAACTGTGACCTTGGGATAGGGAATAATGATTCTGAGTGGGTTTCCCAGTCTTGGTCTCTTGTCCAAGCTGTCCTCCTCTTCGTGGTGCTCTCACCCAGTCTCCTGGCCCCAGTGCTATTTCTTGGTAGTTCTCTTGCTCTCCCTAACCTGGTTGGAACCTCTGAGCTCCTGTTGCCATTTTCATAGCTCCATGTGTTACTTCACTGCCAAGTTGCCATGGGCCAAACCCGACCTGAGTTTTGTCTGCCCTTAAATA